TTGTTATTAAGATGTTTATTATCAATAATCAAAACCCAGGTATTGCCATAAATATCCATGAGGTAGAGTCCCTGGGGCTGGGGGTGGGGGGTGGGGGTGGCTACTGTTGACATGTGGCGAAGTGCTGGGATATGCAATGACTACCCATTGACAATGTCTACTTTAATTTGTGCAACGGCTACTTTGGTAGATATAAAATATTTTAAGAGTGTTATCTGTTTATCTGATATGGTAAAAAGTTCAACTGCATGTATAGTATTATTAAAAATCGAAAAGCAAAAAACAAATATAAACAATTTTGCTCTTAATCTGAAGCAAAGATGTACAAAAATACTGATATCAAAGAAGAAAGAGAAGAAGAGAAGTTGAAAAGAATAATAAGAATGATGTAGTGTGTAAAAGCAGTGTGAAAATGAAAGTAATCCACGCATTCTGCATTTTTTCTAAAGTAAACCAAAGAAAGAGACCCATTGTCTCAATTACTAGAATAGAACATGTATGTAAAAAAAAACCCGGAAAAGTACTCCTTGGACATAATTAATTCGTTATTATGTCCAAGAGTACTCGGAGAGCACATATCTCCTCTATGGCAGTTCATTGTTTTTTTTATTAATATCAATATTTCATTAATTAGTTATCTATTAACTAATTAATCAAAAAGCTAATTAATTAACTAATCCATCAGTTTATTTATTTCTAAACTCAATTCTCATTATCTTTAATTATGCATTAATAAACTTACTAATCAGCTAAACGAAAATTATTTTCTATAATGAGTTAATTAAATAATAATTAACTAACTAATTAATTATTCTATTATTAACGACCAGAACTTAACCTGCTGCTGGCAAATCCTGAAAATTTCATCCAAAAACCTACATAACTTTCGGCAAAACGTTGCTAACAGACAAACAGACTTCATTAATTTTAGTTAAAATTATAATTAAAATTCGCATATTGATAAATGGATCAATGGATTATCATTTCTTACTTGATTTTCTCCTTGCAGTTGCCTAAGCGTTTCAGCAAAATCCGTCCACAGAAATTTTGCAGATTGTTGTAAACAGAGAGATAGGCAAAACATAAACTGGTAGTTTCTGAAAAGAAAATTTAATCCGTCCACAACCTTTTCCATAACGTTGCTTCCAGACAAACGGATAGATAATAAAAAAAGGAAGTAAAAAGAAAGAGGGGGAATTATTCACCAGTGTTAATTATAGACAAGCATAACTTATAGCTGAACATCCTTCGCTTGAAAAGGCTTTATCCCGATCTCAATATTCATACAAAAATTTTCTGATCAGTTCTGAGTAAGTTATTGCTCAATTGAACTGTGCCGCATCTAGCCTTTTTCTTTAAAGTGCAACCGTTTGCAAATGAGTTACATGTGATACTTATTTATATGGTGATAATATCATCTTGTTGATTATAGGCCTATACTTGTCATACTGTACATTTCTATAAAGAGAATATATGCTGGTGCGCTTGTCACAATTTCTCTGTGATTTATATACCCGTATATATATTTTTAAAAAATAACAATGTAGTTTTTTTATGTCCAAGCATTAAGTGAGGTAACAATGTAAGACAAAATGGGGGGG